GCAGCTGCAGAGCCTCCAGCGGGCGCTAGATGGCGCCAAGACGCGCCCCTGGCTGGATGCTCCCCCCAGCGCAAGCCCCAGCCAGACGCCCTCCTCCCCTTCTCACCCAGGTGAGCGGGACAGCCCCTGCCCACCCCCATCCCTGTGCTCATTCGTGTCCGTTCCTGGGCCTGGGCGGGAAGGGCCTAAGATGCAAGACGGGGTCTCTGGATCACTGGAGATTCTGCCTTCAGAGAAAAATCCTGTCTCTACCAAACGCGTGACAGTGACTCAACTCCCCGCTGCCCGTGAAAGTCACCGGTGCAGGGCAGCTTTTATTTATTTTTTAAAAAATATTCCTTTATTGATTTCAGAGAGGAAGGGAGAGGGAGAGAGAGATAGAAACATCAATGATGAGAGGGAATCATTGATGGGCTGCCTCCTGCATGCCTCCTACTGGGGATGGAGGCTGCAACCTGGGCATATGCCCTGACCAGGAATCGATCCTGGGACCCGTCAGTCTTCAGGCGGATGCTCTATCCGCTCAGCCAAACCGGGGCAGCTTTTAAAAGCCGCCAGTGTCACGGGCCTCACTCAGAACCCACTGAATCAGAGCCGCTTACGACTAAATTCACTTCACTGCTGCCTTTGCCTCTGCCCGCCTTCTCGCTGTGCAGTGTTAACTAATAAATCTAACCAGTATATATTGGGCACCTGCTGTGTGCCAGGCCTGTAGTAGGGGCTGGGAATACCAAGGTGAGCAAGACAGGCCCAGCTGTCTTGTAAATGAACAAGATGATTTCAAAGCTGGTACGAGCAGGGAAGGAAAGAAGCCGGGAGGTGAGTGACTAGGGGCTGAGCTGAGCGGGGAATGGGACCCGGCTTCCTGCGGTTCCTCCTTGCCTTTCCTACCCCCACCTCCTTCCCTCACTCGCCCACTTTGTGATTCCTCTTCTTTAGTGAGCACCATCCTCGGGCTAAGATGTGGGGAGACAGTTGTGACAAGCCACTTGTGTCCTCCATCCTCAGAGTGTGGGGCAGGAGACATAGTGCCCAGGGGACATGAGGCAGGTGCTGTGGTGGGAGCACAGGCATTGAGGGGACACAGGAGACGCAGCGGCCCTCGCTGGGGACGCCGGGGAGTGGCCATGGAAACGTCCGGAAGGCAGTGAGTGACGTCTCAGCCCCACACAAGGTGGGAGAAGGGTACTCAGCCAGTGGGTGTCCCAGGTGGAGGGAACAGCGTGGGCAAATACCCAGAGAGAAAAAACGTGGACTGGAACCTTCACTCTGCCTTTCCCAGCCTCCCCTTGGGGCTGGCGAAGGAGGGGGCTCCCAATTTCTGAGGCCGCAAGAGGCCAGAGGTGGCACTTGTAAAGAGGAGCCATGCCCTGTGACTTACTGTTATTATTTTTAAAACTTCATTAACATATAATGTGCATACATTTAGAAATTACTTTTAAATGTTGTAGTGTTTTGTGTGTATAATACACACAATAGATAATACATGTTTCAAAAAATGTGAGGTCTGAAAAGGGATTCAGTGACTCCCTCTGCCCCCTCC